CACACACACAGAGACACACACACACAGACAGAGACAGAGACACACACACACACACACACAGACACACAGACACACACACAGACAGAGACACCTGGAAACGGCCCAGTACAACCTCACTCACAAACCTTTACGCTGTCACTGACTGCATCTCTCCAGTTTGGATTTACCAACACTCTCTTTTTATCATTTCACTTTATTTATTTTTATTTAACACACATAACTCATCCCTACTGATAACCTCAGTTAGAACTTTAATTGTTCTTTTGCCTTAGTTGTGCCTACTCTGCCACTTTGAGCATATTTACTTACTGTGATCGGCTCTGTCTATGATCGGCGCTGTCTATGATCAGTGATCGGCTCTGTCTATGATCTGTGATCGGTGCTATTTTTAGATTTTATCTGTGTTTTTTTTAACCTAAGGTGAGTCTGAAAATAGCAATGCAATGAAATGGATAGAGTTTAGTATCACCATACAATATCCAGGAAGCAGTATGTTTGCCAAAGGGCAATAAATTAAAGAGTATGCAGATGATAACAGACTGCGATAACCTGACATAAGCTGCTGGACGAACCAGGAACAAGAGGCAGATGTCTGGGAACTCGCTCCTACAGTTACCCAGGGACAAAACTAAAACCTCATCTCGTTATCCCTCCTTCTTCTCAACTGAATCCTGTTCTGTGTGCCACCGCGCTCTATTTATAATAAGGTAAGTACAGTATGTCAGTAAGTCTGTCCACGTCACGGCTTTATGAAGATACATACCTCCGATCGTGCTCTCCTGGAATTCGTGAAACTGTCCCTTGACGAAACGAAGTACAAGACTTGACTTCCCCACAGCCGACTCTCCTAAAAGCACAAGTTTGAACTGGCAGATCTTGTTGCCTGCGTTTGGCCCATTGGGTCGCGAAGCTCCGCCTCTACTTGCCATGTCACACTGTCCGGTCTCTTCCTCTGGACGCTGACGTACTGTGAAAGACTGTAGAGAATACCTGAGCAGGAGAGAGGAAAGGAAATGTCACCGTCTAATAAAAACTCTACATGATTTTTAATTTTAGATATTCAGCTGTAGCTTTTGTTTAGTTATTTTGTGAAACCGTATTTTAACAACAAGGTTTTTTGTGGACAAGGCTCGATAGAGAAACGCTTCTGCTTAACGTTGTAGGTTTGTTATAAAGAAGAAAAGTCTTGTCCAGGTGTGCAGAACATCAACGACCTTCAGCAGTTGTGTTTATGAGCTCCAAAAACTCAAAATGTCTAAATAAAATGTATAAAAGCTGGTTAATGTTGTAGTTTGTCTTATAACTTAGAAATATAATAACAATAAAAAGATATCCAGATATCAATGTGACACAACGACCTTTTACTAGAGTTCATTTCACACAGTATCAACAACAGATTCACATTTCTCTCTTTCCTCTTCAAACAGCTGCTTGCTTGTGTGTAACAGGTATAAGCCAACGCAGTAACCAGCGTCAGAGCCTGTAGGGACAGTCGATGAGTCCTTTTACTTTTTGGCAACTGATGACGAGCACCTGAACTTCTGCTTCCTTCCTGTACACCAACCTGTTCACCTGTGCTCATCTAATGGCAGAAGACAAAGTTGATCAACTGGTGTAGCTGTGCGTAAAACCTCTGGCAACTCCTCCTGAAAGCGTTTGAAGTTATGAGAGACAGCCTGTTACAATGGGGATTAGTATGACACGGGTGTGGGCACATGCGTGGGAAATGTTTCAGGGTTAAGTTACAGTTTCCTTTCGGCTGCTGTGAAGAAGGACGAATAACAACACCGAGCACGTTTACCCAAACAACACATACCCCCTTCTTATCACTTAAAGACATCTATCGCGACCTGCAACCAAGTAAACACACAGCACGAGTCCAAAAATAATGACAACTTCGTCCAAATCGCGTTACGACACCGAGTTAACCACAAATAACCTGTAATGTTGTTGTTGAGCAACGACTGCTGGCCTGAACCACACAAGCTACCTTAGCCTGCAAGTTCAACACATTTACCCCCAAAATCTGTGCCTGTAACAACCCACGGTGTTAGTGTGACCCACATCCTGCTCTTAAACGCTGGATGTGACATTAACACAACGTTAGAGACACACAAACAGATGATGAAGGGTTTTTTTTTTTTTTTTTTTGGGTGTGTACAGCTAGTGACAGGCTAGCTAACCGTAGCTGCATGACGTTAATTCAGTGCCTCATCGGTCGGTTGGCACGGATTAAGAGCCGCATTTAAAACCCGGGTTAACGTGAATTGTGTGTTTTATAGCAGCTTCACACAGATTTTGTGACTCCCAGCGTTGAACTCGCAGCGCTAACTAACTTAGCTCGGCCCTTCCACAGAGCTAACGCTGTTGTAGCTGTGGCCGCATCGGGAGGAGCTAACTGGCTAATGTGAGCAATACTCACCTATTTAAAATAAAAACTGGACGCTGGATAATGTGAATGGTGTCTCCGGGATATTATACGTAGAGGCTCTTCGCGGTGTGTCGAGTATCCAGCCAGCTGCAGTTATATTTCATGAGGCTCCGCGATGTCTCTCTCTCACTTCTTTCAACTTCCCTTTTTTTTTTTTTTTT